GTTATGTGGCCCATCCTACTGCTTGGGTATGCGTTGGGCAGTCGGCACTTGTGGACCATCAGGGCTCTCACTGAGGCCCGGTGAAGTGAAGATTAGTCTGTAGGTCATGGAAGATGCTTAGCATCTTTGATGGCTGAGCCTTTGTCGAGCAGCTACTAAACTGAAGTGTAAAATGCAATTAGCAATTATTTTAATGAAGCAGAATTCAGCAATTTAACATAGGCAAGAAGCCAAGTAAGAGGAAAAAAAAAGTCTGGGATTTGACACAAAAAGGAGATGGCACTCCTTTCAAACCTCCTGCATGAGCCACCAGAGTTTCCATCTTGGTCTTGGCTTTTACCTACCAAACCCAGCACTTTGCACAGTTGGGAGAGAAGGTAAAGGCTGTGAACTACCTTTTTAAAAAATAATTTCCAATAGAAAGTTTGGTTTTGCCCAGTACCTGTGGTTTCACACAATGTTAACATGCTCTGCCCCGCACAGAGTGCCGTGTGCGTACCAAACATGCAGACATTCACCACCACCATCATGCATGAGCCAGCACTCCTGTGCATGCCATCAACAGCTTACCTGAACACCCAAGTGGGATTTATCCCATCGGGAGCTTTGTGGCTGCAGCGATGGGGGAGAGGAAGCATGTGGGGAGCTCCTGGTATGGCAGCAGGGGCTCCCCCTTTTGCCACGCCAATACAGACCAAAGTGCTTTCATGCTGACTGTTCCTCTCCAGGCTCTCCACCCACCAGCTTTAGGACTTCGCCTGCTACAGCTGCCTCCACTTCTTGCTTCTTACCCCTCTTCTGCACTCGGGGCTGTCCTCTTCCCTGTCTGTTGCCCCATCTGCTCCAGCCAGCACCAACTTCCTGGAGGAGAAGCCATGTCCTGGGGAGCAGTGTTGCCCCGTCCCTCTCTAAGACACCCAGCAGAGGACTGGGGCTGGTCTGCATCTCCACTGGAGATGAGCAAACCCTACTCCCATCAGCTTGAACCATGGTGACAGGCACTGCTCCGATTTCCTACCTTTTAGCTAAAGCACTACAAGAACTTTGGCAGTGGGCAGACAATGTCCTGCCGCCAAACTTCATTTCTGAAGAGACTGCCAGGCCCCTAGCCCTGCCAGTACTGTTTGGTTTTCGGTGTTATATTACACTGCAGGACTTGGGGAAATTTTATTTTTGTGTCATTTAAAAAATATTCTTTTTATTAATTTTCTTCATGAAAAGATACATTGCAAACATAAGATAAAGTGACATAAATTAATGAAGTTAAATATGAAACAGAGTTAAAAACATAAACAATAAAGAAAAATAACTTAGTTCAACACAAAATAAACACAGACACGTAAACTATGAACAGATATAACATAAATTAGCAGACAAAATGTGGTGGACAATACCACCAATTACATGCTGACACAGACTGAAAACAGGAGCTGTGGAGGGTAAGCGGGGGAGCGGCTGCTCCTGGCGTGCAGGATGCTCACCCATTCCCACCAGCACGGTCTGACAGTTACCCCCAAACTCCCGCAGAGTGGGCCCCACTCCCTTGTAAGGCTTGACTGACAAATTACCTGAGCTTCTCACCATTACTGTTGACCGCAGTGAAGCTGAGCAACCGTGGGTTAGGTTCCTACATTTGATACTGCTTTTTTTTTTTTCTTCCAGCTTCTATTGCTACAGGAACAGTTCAGAGCTGCAGTCCAGTTAAAATAGATATCGTCCGTACCCGTTTTACTTTGTGAGGATTTCCTATGCCTCCTAAGCAAGGCATTGCCCTTTGCTTTGAGAAATACCAGCACACCACTGTGTACAGCACAAACCAGGAGCTGACACAAGCCCTGTACTCACCCACTCCTAGAACAGCTTCGTAAGGGTTGGGGCTCTCCTCTACCACCCCACCAGCACCAGGAGGAAGGTCCTCTTCTGCTGTGGAGCAGTCTGGGCTCCTTGTATCTGAGAATATGTTCGAGCCAGTTTTGGCGTTAGTTGAAGCAACCTATGGACTGCTTAAACTTACCGCACTGAAGGAGGGCACTTCAGCACAGCCCTGCCAGATGGGCAGCCTCGGGCTACGGATCCAGGGCCCATCCCTCCCTCCAAGAAAAAAATTGGGAAGACGGAGGCGCAGATGTGTCACTGCAGCCAGCATGTGATGGTGTCGTAGAGTGGGTTTTTTCCAGCCACCTCAGAAAACGCCCTTACTGCATGTTGCTGGTCTAGCTCTCGGGCAGGATGCAATTCTGTTCTTTCCTTTGTGTGCAATGGACTTGGTTTGTTTAACTGCTTTCAGTGGGATGGGAACTGGATATGTAAATCAGTCAGAGGAAAACTGAAACACTGCTGAAATATCAAATCCCTCTGGAGTATTAGAATAAGCTCGGCTGAAATTGCAGCAGGGTCTAAGCCCGCCCTCCCCTGCAAACACCTTGCTAAGGTCCTGATGCGGCATCTGCAGCTAGCAGCTAGACCTGTCTGTAGTGGGAAGGTACTGGGTTTTACCTTCCAGAGTTTGTGTATGGCTGGAATTAAAAACAGTAAATGAATAGCAAGTATATCCTGAGCTCCACAGAGTGCCTTTCATCCAGAAGGATCCCAAAGCACTTCACAAACCGTACAAACAGGGCTCACTCACCCACCGCTGGAAGGTAGCGACCTCAGGGGCAAAAGGCAGCTGCCATTCTGCACCAGCAGCACTACACAGCGGTGTTTTTAGGAAGGGAAGTGAAGAATAACTTAGTCCCTAGAAACAATGAACGCTTAACCTTTAAAGGAGCCCCTGTATACGGAACGGGCTACGCAGCACACATGCGATACGTGCAGCCCCCCACCACTCACCAACCCGACGAGCATGCAGCGCAAGCCTACACAGCGCAGATATTTTCAGGTAAGGTGCTATGCCGATACCAGGAATAGATGCGACGTACTCAAGCATGCAGCAAACAGGCAGCACATGCACTGTGCAGGGCAGGCGCCCGGCCCTCCGCAGCATCAGGCACCGACGCTGACTCGCCGTGGCGCATAAGAGAACAACCGGATGACAGGTTGCCAACGTTGACTGGATGCCCTCACGCTTTGGGTATGTTCTTATGCTTTCCACCACCTATGTAATGCAAGTACCTTTTCCCAGTAAAAGCCAGTTAATGACTGAAGTAGTGGAGCAAGTACATTTTCTTTTAAAGTAAAATATCTTCCAAAGATAAAAATAACCCTTTTCACAGATGTCTTTTCTTGGTGCCAAATCTAAGAAACTTTGGCATCCGTTCCTACATCCTTCCCTTCTAGCTGTCTGTTCTGAAACCCGCTTCACCAACATCTCAGCCTATCGCTTCTTTACACTTTCCACTTTTTCTACCAGTATTCTCTACACATAATGGCTTAAACCTTTGCCTTTATTACTTTGCAGGTCGAGAAGACTTTCCATGCCCTCAAATGCCATTATCTATTTATGCAAGCTGGTAGAGCTGGGAAAGTGAAAGAAGTGGGGAAGCTGGTAACTATACGGCAGTTCTATGAGATTATCAAGGAACCAGTTAAAAAGAGAGCCCTGATGACATCAGGCAGCAACTCTTTCTCCAGCCTTATGCCTCCTTCACTGAGTTCATGGTCAGTATTCGTCATATATGGCAGTGACACACAGCTGTGCAGAATATCACACAGTTCGCCTGAGAAAGGCAAGATCCCATCAACACATTTCATGTGTGTGACACCACACTCATGAATTAAGAATAGGACCAGGACAGTTCAAGTGTGACTTAGACTCTGATCTGACAGCAGACAAACCAAGAGGACATAAAAACCAGCATGAGGCAGTAACAGTGGCCAAGGGATGAATCCGAGGATCGGGAAGCTGGAAAAATGGCAGCAGGGAAGAACAAGGGTAACAACACAGAGCTGGAAGAGTATTGAGAGCATCTAGGAAGGGACAGCCAGGCAGGCAGGGCAGACCCTAAGGCTTTCAAAGCCATATAATGCAACTGAACAGATACACATGGAACTGAAACTAAACACGGGACTTTGGATGTCTCTGGGTACTGAACTGAGATGCACTTACAGTCCTGAGCCAAGGGAAGTTCAATACGAGTTAGCCAAAAGATACCAGAAAACTAAAGCTGAGGAAATACCACAATGAAAATGCCGGTTTGCACCACTGCAAGGAGGAGGAGGGCATTTTAGGGTCCAGACAGAAACCACCCTGGCCACTGAGGGTGACAACTATATCAAGTACCAGACCTCCAGTCCTATTCTTGTTCCTGGAAAAGTCATCCTTGCATGAGAAACCAAGGTGAGACACTGGCTCCGCCGTCATTAAGGATGTAACGTGGGACTTTTTGCCTACACTGCTTCTGGATGAGAATCCGCAAGGACTACAGCAGCTCCTGCTTACCAGCATCTGCCTCCTGTCTACTGCAGCTCTGTCTCCTGTGGTTAATGAGGCTGGGCCAGTCTGTCGATTCAGTTATTCACCTATGCCTGGGAACTGAGACAATCTTCAGTCTTCATTGACTTGCTGTCCCGTACAAAATGTTCCATCCGTAATGTCTGGGATTCTTTAAAGAAAGCTCATTAGAAAACTTTCATTCTTATATCCTTAATCTACAGTCTACTTCCCATGCAGCTCAAACACAAACCACCTCTTCCTTCACCTTATTCTCTTTCTGCACTGAGTTGAATTTACCACTTGGAACAGCTCCCCGCTTCTTCATACCTGACTCCTCGACACATTTCACACCACATCTCTCCTCTGCATCTGGTATCTTCTACTATGCTGACTTTAGACTAAATCTCCCGAGTCTTTTAGTCTCACTACATACTCACATTTCCTCCAGGACTTAACAGGAGGGCTCCTTCTCCCATTAATGA